GGGAGGGACCCCCGGGAGGGACCCCCGGGATGGACCCACGGGAGGGACCCCCGGGAGGGACCCCCGGGATGGACCCACGGGAGGGACCCCCGGGATTGACCCACGGGAGGGACCCACGGGAGGGACCCCCGGGATTGACCCCCGGGAGGGACCCACGGGAGGGACCCCCGGGATGGACCCACGGGAGGGACCCCCGGGATGGACCCCCGAGGGGAGACCCCCGGGAGGGACCCCCGGGAGGGACGCGCGGGATGGGACCCCCGGGATGGACCCCCGGGATGGACCCACGGGATGGACCCACGGGAGGGACCCTCGGGAGGGACCCACGGGATGGACCCACGGGAGGGACCCCCGGGATGGACCCACGGGAGGGACCCACGGGATTGACCCCCGAGGGGAGACCCCCGGGATGGACCCCCGGGAGGGACGCCGGGCATGGACCCACGGGATGGACCCACGGGAGGGACCCACGGGAGGGACCCACGGGATGGACCCACGGGAGGGACCCCCGGGATAGACCCACGGGAGGGACCCCCGGGAGGGACCCCCGGGATGGACCCACGGGATGGACCCACGGGAGGGACCCACGGGAGAGACCCCCGAGGGGAGACCCCCGGGATTGACCCCCGAGGGACCCACGGGATGGACCCCCGGGAGGGACCCCCGGGATGGACCCACGGGATGGACCCACGGGAGGGACCCACGGGAGAAACCCCCGGGATTGACCCCCCGAGGGACCCCCGGGATGGACCCACGGGAGGGACCGATGAGGCCGCGGAGAGGTCCTGGAGAAATCCCAAATGGGGCTCGGGAGTAGCGGGAAGTGACCCCAATGTGTCCCCCGAGATACCCTGGGGTGACCCCAAATGGGTGCCCGGGGTGGCACAAGGTGACCCCAGTGTGTCCCCAGGGTGACCCCAAATGGGTGCCCGGGGTGGCACAAAGTGACCCCAGTGTGTCCCCAGGGTGACCCCAAATGGGTGCCGGGGATGGCACAAGGTGACCCCAGTGTGTCCCCAGGGTGACCCCAAATGGGTGCCGGGGATGGCACAAGGTGACCCCAATGTGTCCCCAGGGTGACCCCAAATGGGTGCCGGGGATGGCACAAGGTGACCCCAATGTGTCCCCAGGGTGACCCCAAATGGGTGCCGGGGGTGGCACAAAGTGACCCCAATGTGTCCCCCGAGATGACCCCAAATGGGTGCCAGAGGTGGCACAAGGTGACCCCAATGTGTCCCCAGGGTGACCCCAAATGGGTGCCAGGGGTGGCACAAAGTGACCCCAATGTGTCCCCCGAGATGACCCCAAATGGGTGCCGGGGATGGCACAAGGTGACCCCAGTGTGTCCCCAGGGATACCCCAAACCAGCCCCAGGGACATCCCGGGGTGACCCCAAATGGGCACCAGGGACATTCCGGGGTGACCCAAAATGGGTGCCCGGGGTGGCACAAGGTGACCCCAGTGTGTCCCCAGGGTGACCCCAAACCGGCCCCAAGGATGGCACAAGGTGACCCCAATGTGTTCCCAGGGACACCCCGGGGTGATCCCAAAAAGGTCCCAGGGGTTCCCCCTGTCCATGTCCTCGTCCATCCCAGTGTCCATCCTGGTGTCCCTCTGTCCATCCCTGTCCCCATCCATCCCAGTGTCCATCTGTCCATCCTGGTGTCCATCCATCCCGGTGTCCATCCCAACATCCATCTGTGCACACCTCCATCCATCCATCCATCCCGGTGTCCGTCTGTCCATTCTTGTGTCCATCCTGGTGTCCATCCATTCTTGTCCCCATCCATCCCAGTGTCCATCTGTCCGTCCTGGTGTCCATCCATCCCGGTGTCCATCCCAACATCCATCTGTGCACACCTCCATCCATCCCAGTGTCCATCTGTCCATCCACCCATCCATCCATCCATCCNTCCTGGTGTCCATCCATCCCGGTGTCCATCCCAACATCCATCTGTGCACACCTCCATCCATCCCAGTGTCCATCTGTCCATCCACCCATCCGTCCATCCATCCCAGTGTCCGTCTGTCCATTCCTGTGTCCATCCTGGTGTCTATCCATTCTTGTCCCCATCCATCCCAGTGTCCATCTGTCCGTCCTGGTGTCCATCCATCCCGGTGTCCATCCCAACATCCATCTGTGCACACCTCCATCCATCCCAGTGTCCATCTGTCCATCCACCCATCCATCCATCCATCCATCCCAGTGTCCGTCTGTCCATTCCTGTGTCCATCCTGGTGTCCATCCATTCTTGTCCCCATCCATCCCAGTGTCCATCTGTCCATCCCTGGTGTCCATCCCAGTATCCATCTGTGCGCATCTCTGTCCATCCTAGTGTCCATTTGTCCATGACCTTGTCCACCCTGATGTCCATTCAAGAACTGCTGCACTGATCTCAGCATCCATCCATCCGTCCATCTGTCCATCCCTCCGTCCATCCTTCTGTCCCCCTGTCCATCCCCATGTCCATCCATCCCTCCATGCACCCATTGATTCCAGTGTCCATCTGTCCATCCCAGTGTCCATCCGTCCATGCATCCCAGTGTCCATCTGCCATGTCCATCCATCCACCTGTTCCAATGTCCAACCATCCGTGACCCTGTCCACCCCGGTGTCCATTTGTCCATGCCAGTGTCCATTTGTCCATCTCAGTGTCCATTTGTCCATCCCAGTGTCCATTTGTCCATCCCAGTGTCCATCCCAATGTTCATGTGTCCATCGCAACATCCATTTGTCCACCCCAGTGTCTCAGTGTCCATTTGTCCACCCCAGTGTCTCAGTGTCCATTTGTCCACCCCAGTGTCCATTTGTCCACCCCAGTGTCCACCCTAGTGTCCATTTGTCCACCCCAACATCTGTTTGTCCACCCTGGTGTCCATCCCAGTGTCCATTTGTCCATGCCAGTGTCCATTTGTCCATCCCAGTGCACATTTGTCCATCCCAACATCCGTTTGTCCACCCCAATGTCCATCCCAGTGTCCATTTGTCCATCCCAGCATCCATGTGTCCATCCATGTGTCCACCCCAGTGTCCATCCCAGTGTCCATGTGTCCATCCCAACATCCGTTTGTCCACCCCAATGTCCATTTGTCCATCCCAGTGTCCACCCCAGTCTCCGTCCCAGTGTCCATTTGTCCATACCAGTGTCCACCCTGGTGTCCATCCCAGTGTCCGTCCCAGTGTCCATTTGTCCATCCCAACTTCCATGTTTCCATCCCAGTGTCCATTTGTCCATCCCAGTGTCCACCCTGGTGTCCATGCCAGTGTCCGTCCCAGTGTCCATTTGTCCATCCCAGTGTCCACCCCAGTGTCCATTTGTCCACCCCAGTGTCCATCCCGGTGTCCATTTGTTCATGCCAGTGTCCATTTGTCCGTCCCAACATCTGTTTGTCCACCCCGGTGTCCGTCCCAGTGTCTATGTGTCCACCCCAATGTCCATTTGCCCATCCCAGTGTCCAACCCAGTCTCTGTCCCAGTGTCCATTTGTCCATCCCAGTGTCTATTTGTCCATCACAGCATCCGTTTGTCCACCCCAGTGTCCGTCCCAGTGTCCATTTGTCCATCCCGGTGTTTATTTGTCCACCCCAGTGTCCATTTGTCCACCCCAGTGTCCACCCCAATGTCCATTTGTCCATCCCAGTGTCCATCCCAGTCTCCGTCCCAGTGTCCATTTGTCCATCCCAACTTCCATGTTTCCATCCCAGTGTCCATTTGTCCATCCCAGTGTCCACCCTGGTGTCCATGGCAGTGTCCATTTGTCCATCCCAGTGTCCATCCCAGTGTCCATTTGTCCATCCCAGTGTCCATTTGTCCATCCCAGTGTCCACCCTGGTGTCCATCCCAGTCTCCGTCCCAATGTCCATTTGTCCATCCCAACTTCCATGTTTCCATCCCAGTGTCCATTTGTCCATCCCAGTGTCCACCCTGGTGTCCATCCCTGTGTCCGTCCCAGTGTCCATTTGTCCATCCCAGTGTCCATTTGTCCATCCCAATGTCCAGAAATGGGCACAGAAAACCCCAAACTGGGCACTGATATCCCAAAATGTGAGAATTCACCCCAAAACTGGCTGCTGAACCCCAGAACTGGCCAAATACGCTCCAGACTGGGTGAATTTGCCCTAAACTGGGTGAATTCACCCCAAACTGGGCACAGACACCCCAAAGTGGGAAAATGCGTCCCAAAACCTGGCAAATTCACCCCAAAACTGAGCAAATTCATCCCAAAAAGTGGATCCGGTCACCCCAAACTGGATCTGGTCACCCAAAAAATGGACAAATTCACCCCAAACTGGGAAAATTCACACCAAACTGGGAAAATTCACCCCAAACTGGGAAAATTCACCCCAAAAATGGATACAGTTACACCCAAACTGGGTCAGGTCACCTCAAACTGGGGAAATTTGCCCAAACTAGAAAAATTCATCCCAAAACTCAGTCCACTCACCCCAAAATGGGTCCGGGCACCCCAAAACTGGACAAATTCACCCCAAACGGGGAGCAGACACCCAAGAACTGGACATGGAAACCCAAAAACTGGATCTGGTCACCCCAGACTGGGAAAATTCTCCCCAAAATGGGGAAAAAACACCCCAAAATTGGGAAAATTCACCCCAAAACTGGACGGAGTCACCCAAGACTGGATCCAGTCATCCCAAAAGTGAAAACATTCACCCAAACTGGGAAAAATCATCCCAAAACTGAACAAATTCAACCCAAATTGGGATAATTCACCTCAAACTGGGAAAATTCACCTCAGAATTGAACAAATTCACCCCAAANGCAAATTCATCCCAAAAAGTGGATCCGGTCACCCCAAACTGGATCTGGTCACCCAAAAAATGGACAAATTCACCCCAAACTGGGAAAATTCACACCAAACTGGGAAAATTCACCCCAAACTGGGAAAATTCACCCCAAAAATGGATACAGTTACACCCAAACTGGGTCAGGTCACCTCAAACTGGGGAAATTTGCCCAAACTAGAAAAATTCATCCCAAAACTCAGTCCACTCACCCCAAAATGGGTCCGGGCACCCCAAAACTGGACAAATTCACCCCAAACGGGGAGCAGACACCCAAGAACTGGACATGGAAACCCAAAAACTGGATCTGGTCACCCCAGACTGGGAAAATTCTCCCCAAAATGGGGAAAAAACACCCCAAAATTGGGAAAATTCACCCCAAAACTGGACGGAGTCACCCAAGACTGGATCCAGTCATCCCAAAAGTGAAAACATTCACCCAAACTGGGAAAAATCATCCCAAAACTGAACAAATTCAACCCAAATTGGGATAATTCACCTCAAACTGGGAAAATTCACCTCAGAATTGAACAAATTCACCCCAAACTGAACAAATTCACCCCAAAACTGAACAAATCCAACCCAAAATCAGAAAATTCAACCCAAACTGGGAAAATTCACCCCAAACTTGGAAAACTTACCCCAAGTTGGGAAAATTCACCCCAAATTGAACAAATTCACCACAAATTGAACAAATTCACCCCAAAACTGGATCTAGTCACCCTGAAACTGAAAAAATTCATTCCAAATTGGGAAAATTCACCCCAATTTGAACAAATTTGTCCCAAATAGGGAAAATTCACCCCAAATTGAACAAATTCATCCCAAATTGGGAAAATTCACCCCAAATTCAGAAAATTTGCCCCAAATTCAGAAAATTCACCCAACAGCTGGGAAAATTCACCTCAAACTGAGCAAATTCACCCCAAATTGAACAAATTCACCCCAAATTACGAAAATTCATCCCAAATTACGAAAATTCACCCCAAATTCAGAAAATTTACCCCAAGTTCAGAAAATTCACCCAACAGCTGGGAAAATTCACCTCAAACTGAGCAAATTCACCCCAAAACTGAGCAGATTCACCCCAAAACTGAGCAAATTCACCGCAAACTGAACAAATTCACCCCAAACTGAGCAAATGCACCCCAAATTGGGAAAATTCATCCCAAAACTAAACAAATTCACCCCAAATTGGGAAGATTCACTCCAAGCTGGGAAAACCCACCCCAAATCTGAACGAATTCCCCCCAAACCGACCCCTTGAAGATTCCAGGACCGTTGGGATGGAGCTTCTCACCAACCCCGTCATCCCAGAGGATGGATTGGGGAAAAAAATCCATAAAAAGGACCCCAAACCCTCAAATCCCGGCTGGAACTCCGGGACTTTTCCCGTTTCCCCCGTGGAATTCCCAGGGATTCGGGGGCACCTCGGGGGGTTCCGGAGGCACCGGGGGTGACTCAGGCCGGACGTTCCCCAATATCCGGGCCCGCGGGAATGGGGAAGGAAACGGGAATTGCGCAAGGCCAGGATGGGGACGGGGGGTGACGCGGCGGGGACGGG